GTCTCCTCCTCCGTCAATTAAAAGTAGGCAACGCATCTGCAATTGCGAATGTTTATGGGCAGCGGTCGCTTTCCATTTCGGTGGATTCACGTGACCGCTTGCTGGTTTGCCACCTTATATTATATAAAAAAGGTCTTTAAAAAGGTTACTTGAGACAAAACGGGTACTACTTAACAGTCAATCTCTACATTGAATCCAACGGGTAACCATTTGTAAGGAGTTACCTAAGGGTACTTCTTACGAGAAACGTGGAGTATTACGGCAATGTTACACTAACTAGAGTTTCGCACAAGATTCGCTTACTCTTTTCTTATTCTACCAATAAGTATTTTATTTCGATGATATGATAGTACTTTGTGATACTCACGCCCCATTATTTGAAATCTATTAGTAGTCCCGCGATGATCAAGGTCGTGAACCAAACAGGCTATCAAATACATGAGTGCTTGTAAATCACTGCAACAAATTCAAAATATCAAGTAATTTAATGTAGTTTTTTAAGGAGTTATACAAAAGCTTCGATCGAAGTTCCTAAGATTGTACTTACTTAAGATACCCTGAGGAGACCAGCTTATAGTTGATGAGGGCAGCGTATGCCCATTGTGCGACATTGAAGGCGTGCATCCAATTGTGGTAGGGCACGTCGCGATAGCCCTTCTTTACGTGCAGGACGAACCTCGCTAGTTTCATCGCATTTAGACTGAACCTGCAGTTCATAATATCATCCTTTACAACCTTCGTAGCTCCTATATTTATGTTCTTANNTTTCGCCAGCGACTCCGTCAACGTGGAATTCTTCCTGACTATCCTCTAGGTCTATGCCAGATTTCACCGAGATCCGTTAAGCCGTCTAGGCTACAACCTCTATCAAACATCCATCCTCCAAAAATCTCGCATTTATAACATTATGACGCCCCCCCCCTGGATAAGGAGTAAGAAATAAGATACAAAGTAAAGCGTGTCAGCTTGGCATTGTGTTAACCAATTACTCCTATAACATTGGTGCTGTCTCGCATTTTATTTCAGTAGTAACTATCATTATATCTTATACATTTTATTTTTGCAATAATTTAATAGGGTAGGGTGATATTATTTTGACTATCTAACTTCTTCTGCAGCCCGAGGTCTGAGAACATCTTGAGCACGTAGCAGGGCAGCTCGCGCGGCGGCAACGCGCGCACATTGAAGCTGAGACTGGCGAAGTGCGGGTGCTTGTGGAAGCCCGTGCACTCCAGGAGACGGGTCACCTCCATATCACCCACCTAAGTATACACCTCTTGTAATCAGTTGATATAAGACACTTTTGTAAGACGCTGACGGTAGGAATGGATGCTTTTGAAGAATAAACAAGGGTAAAAACCAGTATTGTGACAAAAAGCATAAAGGAAAAGTAGGGTTGACCGATTGTAACTAGAAATTCAGGTAGTCTTAGTAAGCCCTGGTTAAAAATAGGTAATTGGTCTTTTTATAAGAGAAGAGGGTAAACGAGCGGCGGAAACACATAGGTGGTCTACGACGCCGATAGACATCCGTAACACCAGAGGAACTACAAATGCGTTCCCGGCCTTTGAGGAGGAGGGCTTGCTTATTTCCAGTATCGATTTTCGGTTATTACCGAAAAACTACTGTTGCACCCCAGAGCATTTATAAGCAGAACTGATATTCAATTTCCAAAACTACAGTTTACTTACAAAACAGACTAAATTTGGAACTCCTTCGCCTACATATTGGAAATTCTGAAAGAAACTTGTAACCTTCATATGGTACATGACGAGTTCATTGGCGAGCGCGTTGCGGATGTGAGCCTCCTGCATCTTCTGATAGACCATGGAGTGTACGATGCAGACGCCGCAGTACACGCTGAACGCCAGAGCCATCTCCTCGTCCATTGCGTCGAAGTACGGGTCGCCAAGCTTGTTGTAGAGGCTGCCCACGCCGATTATACCGGACTGGTCGCGGATGGGGAAACATAGAAGGGACCTGGTATAAAAACGAGTTTATTAACACGTCCAGTGGTGGCCTGTAAATAGTTAAGCTACACATACTTAACTGAATCACTCTAAAGAAATTGCTTGACCGCGCTAATCGATGGAATTATCAATCGAAAATGACCTTAATTAATTTAGCATTTGACAGCTTAAAAACATAGTTTTAGACTAAAGCTAAGGCATACGTCATTTCGAATGAAGTTCTTTCAAATACCTGCAGGTGATTCCAGGATAAGAATCAATTTCTGGATTAAACTTGGGATGTTTCTCTGGATTCTTCACGTTGACTAGATTGCCCGTGCTAATGACTGTCCCTGCTATACCGACGTCCATTTTGAAACGTCTTTTCACCGTCTCCGTGTTAGTCTTTGAAATTTAGATTTCGATAATTAATTTCATTCGCTAAACAACTCCTAACTTTGAATCTATTAAAAACAGTGATACCATTTGTAGCTGCATAGGGTCGTAAATCTCAACAAGGTCCATCTGGTCGAGGTCTATGAGCATAACAGAGCAGTATTCGGCACTCATTAGCATCTTGGCCTGTTCCATAGCCATATGCAGCAGCGTTTGAAGCTTCTCTACCTGAGATACCACAGAGTATATTCAATAATAGTAGAGACCGCTGCACCATTAGCTGGTGGCCCATTCAATTCATGCGATATCACGAGACAGGGATAATAAAATGAAAATTCCTCTTTGGATGAGTGTGAGCCAAAGTAAACTTCTCTCCCTTTTCCTAATAGGAAAATAATGGTAATTGAAAAATCATCACTCTGTCCATGACAAATAAGCAACGCATCCTTTTAGATTCATGCAGTTGTCTATGGGCGGTTTTTTATGCAGACCGTTGCGTCACCTATAAAAACTGATCTCACCTGAGTAAACAATCTCCTAGCAACGCGCAGTAATTGCTGGCATTTGTTCTTGACCGTGCGCTCGTACTCCAGCATTATCGACTTCTTCAGTACCGGCCAGAAAAATCTTTAAATGCACACAAATTACGCAAAACACGTCACAAATGTTCTGTTTATAATTCAATGCTTATACAAAATCTTATAACTCAAAATGATTGGGAAAATTCTTCATCATGTTCCTTTCTTTACTGAACTGATAAAATCTATAATTATAATGCAACTAACAAGAAGGCTTCGTATATAATGACTCCGACGCGATCCTCCTGTATGGTGGGCGATACGATGCACACAATGAGGGAGAACGGGTTGTCAGGGATAGGGAACATTACCACACGCTTCTTAGGGTTCTCCGATTCTAAAACCTAAAATAATGAAAAAGGTTCTTTGTTAAATAATGTCAGGGTTGGGTACGTTAAAATAACTCAACAAGAATCCTTAAAAACTCGAAACAAAATCTGTAAATTGCTTTCATTACACTAATCTCATTGTTTTATGCTGTAATACTTTGCAAGATATGAAAGGTTTGGAAAAGGTAGCACTTTCTTCACTCGGTGGTTTTTTATAACTTATAAACTTCCAAGATACCTTGAGATTGCTGGTTTGGTATGGTTTGGTACACATAAAAAAAGATGTTTCAAAATAAATTTAACTCTTACAGGTTCGACGATACTTTTAAAATCCTCTTCCATATTACTCAAGTATTCTGTCTGCTCACCCACTGACTCCATAACAAGTTTAAATTTATCAGACAGCTAAAATTAACACAAAAAATGTATTAATAACCTTAAAGTGAAATATAATTTATCTCAAAAGCTAAGGCCCGTGATACTAACAGATATCTTACGCTTCCGTAACAACATCAAGGAGCCGACGGTTTCTATGAAAGCATCGGAGTGTTCCCTGTTCACCACCACAAGTAGTGCTTGCTCTGATACACATTCCTGGATGAGCTACAATCAGATAGTACATAGTATATCTCGAGCCCTAAACATAAACATAAACCTAAACATTAAGAAATTAACCAGGATTCATTTTCAAATTAGGTACTGTGATGTTATAATTTAGAGTACTCTCCCACTATGCCAAGGTCAAACCGTACAACAGTTTTAGTCAAAATGTGGCAACCCTATTCTTTCGGAAGGTATGTCCCCTTTCAGAAACTAACCATGCGATTTCGGTTCAAATGCAAAATAATTTATAATTTACACACACTTGCAAGGCACTTTAATTCTAGCCCGGACTTTTAAAATATGATTATAAGTATAATAAATTACGTATGTGTTTATTTTGGTTTGTAGTAGTGCACACTTGTCATCAGTTAAGCTCATAATCAGGTCCAAAATTTTGCCGGGATCGCTATTTTGCACACTCTTTCGTCGTTGTCGTCTTGCAATCATATTTTTAAATTAATTGATAAATGCGAATTATTATAAGAACTTTATAAAATGACAAATAATATTGACATAAAAACCATAAAACATTAATTTTGAAACGAGTCTATTTCATTGATTCATGATGACCATTATTTAAATGTATAAATATGATTGTATGATTGTGTCATAAAAAAATGTTAATGGAAATAAACCTCGGGTAATAAAAGGATTTAAATCGCTTGCTAAAATAATAAAATCCTATTTTTGTTGCACTATTGTCTATAGTTCGTTACTTCCCAAAGAATAGTTAAGATCATCGACCAATCGCAATGCAACAAAGAATATGTTACGCATTTCATACCAAAAAGACTCGACAAGCCATAAAAAGTAAAACAACAGCTGATGGGTGATGAAAAGTGATTTTCCGTTTGTAATATCTTGTTATTATATAAGTTAACGCAGAAGAATATAATGGCTGAGATTCAAACACTTATGGAAATGGGCTTTCCGAAGGAACGAGCGTAAGTCTTAGTTCATATTTATATAAACAGCAAAATAAATTAGGTTATATGCAATGTTGTTGTTTTTAGCGAGAAGGCGTTAGCGGTCACGAATTACAAAGGTGTGGAGCCTGCTATGGAATGGCTGTTGGCGCACGCTGATGAGCCTGATTTGGGATCTGGACAAACGATTGGCGGGAACTCTAGCACCGATGTCGAAGCAACTCCTTCGGCTTCGTCGGCACCGGCATCTGAGCCGGCGTCTGACGATTCGTCTGTGGCCAAATCATTTAAATGTGATGAGTGCGGAAAACTATTTAAAAACCAAGATGAAATGGAATTCCATGCGGCGAAAACCAATCACAGTAGTTTCTCTGAATCTACCGAGGAAAAGAAGCCATTGACTGAGGAGGAAAAAAAAGCTCAATTGGCTTTACTGGAGGAGAGGATGAAGCAGAAGAGGAAGGAAAGGGAAGAAAAAGAAAAGGTAAGTCAACATTTCGAACACTTTATTACCTAATTATGTTACAGCACACTTTGTAATAAATTATGTTAAAAAAATTTTAATTCTGTTCCACTGAGTATTAGAACATTTGATGCTTATATTAAAATAACATGAAGAATATTCCTTTTCATAAACTCCTAACCTATTTCTATGATTTACTTATTTTAGCGGTTTTACAATAACATTTTTACTCAATTTCTGTACATGTTTCAAGCACTACAGCAGGAGGTTTAAACAAATAGACATTTTAGAGCCACTAAAATTCCTGGCACATTGTTATGAGACATTAAAAGTATTTTTTTTCTGTCAGGCTGAAGCATTAGAGAGGGAGCGGCTCCGTATCAAATCAGGTAAAGACCTGCAGGACGCGAGACTCAGACTTCAGGAGCAGGAGATGCAGAAGTTGGTTGAGCAAAGGCGCAGAGAGAAGATTGAAGATCAAAAAGCAAGAGAGAGGGTCAGGGCACAGATTGAAGCCGACAAACAAGCTAGGAAGTAAGTATTTCTAGTAAATAAACATTGATTGTTCAAGTTTTAATGTTTACTGGGCTACCTAGATTATAGACAAGGCTGGGCCTGATTTTATGCTCTTATGTGCTGGAGCACACATATGGTAGTCTTCTAATGAAATGGAATATATTTACTTCCACTTCACATCTATCTTATGTGGTTAGAGTACTCCAGGCGAGGAGATTAATTCTCGCAATGGATGGACATGTTGCCAACATTTATTACTATTAAAAACTTGTACCACAAAATTCACTCTATTTTATCTCATGTGGGCTAGGCATACCAAATTTTCCTCCGGATCGATTTTACCTCTTATATTAGTTGTATAGAAACTTCCATGCCATAATTCCAGGCTTGCGGCATCAGGACAGAAGGAGGCACCTGCGCCAGCACCTGTCCCTCCCCAGCCCGCGCCAGCAGCACCCAAGGTGTCATACGAGCAGGCGCGCATACAGCTTCGGCTGCCCGATGGACAATCACTGTCTCACACTTTTAGTGCTAAGGAACAGCTTGCTGCCGTCAGGTAGTTTAGTTTATTATTAATTAGTTTTTTTTTTATAACATAAGGTGGCAAACGAGCAAACGGCCACCTGAAATCGCCAAAGTGACCGCTGCCCATAGACATCCGCAATTGCAGATGCGTTGCCTACCCTTATCAGACGGAGGAGGAGACGCACATAAAGAGGATATTTCCCCTTCTTATGCATCTCCTGCACTGTCAAATCTACTTCCTCTTCCCATCCTCTTTTTATAAGAAAAGGGTGGTAAAGAGAAAGGGACTTAAATTAGGCCTCCTGCACCACACTCATCAGACGAAACACGGAATTCTTTCCATTTCTCGCCTGTCTTCTGTGTGGTCGTGGTATTACTGGGGGCGTGCCGGCCCTGCAGTGCTAATATGTTAAAGCTGGCACTACCACTGAAAAAAGTTAAGAACAGTTAAGAATCTGTTTGTCAATGATATTTGTCACACATTTTAATATTTTCCCTTTAATAAGTAATTTGATAGATTAGAGTTAATTTTTGTATTTGTCGTTTCAGGTTATACTTACAAATGAATTCACAAGAGTTTGCTCAACAAGAGAACTTCAAGCTGATGACCACCTTCCCAAAGAAGATATTTACTGTTGATGATTATGACAAGCCTTTAGATTTATTGGGTATGTTTTTTATATCTTTATAAATATAGGTTTTATTTAAAACTAGCTGTTCCCATGCGACTTCATCTGCATGAAATTATGAAAATTTTATTACATTGTTTACATTTGTCAAATTATCAAACTGACATTACATGACAAACCTTGGCAATCTTTTTGCTTAATGTTAGCAGCAACTTATGGTCTCTTACCCACATTAGGGATTTTATCCAAAACATTTACGCTCTAAGTTTATTGGCGTGAAAATATATAGCCTAAAGCGTGATGTAAGTGTAGGGCTATTCATTAAAATAAGAATTATTCAAAAATATGCTGTAATTGCTGACATCTTAGGCAACAAAGAAGTGTGTTTACGCATTATTATAATAGTATAGATGTTACTTTAAACATGTGTGAATTTACTTTTAAAAGAATCTTTTTAGCACATGCTCTTTCAAATCAAAACAAACAATAAGTTTTAAACTTCTAACATGCTCATTTTGTGAGTACAATTTTTTGAGTCAACATTCCTCAAAGATGTTTCAATTCAACTAAAAAAATGAATCTTTACATACAGCAAAATTTATGAGATTGTCGACTATCCTCCGTGAAACATGGTAGAATTTATTACAAGTATGGCTTTGCATAGTCCATTATAATCAATGTGCATCTTTGATAGTGGAAGCTCAATGATTTTTTCAAATTTCTACAGGTCTGGTACCATCCGCTGTGATCATAGTCTCCAGAGGTCAAGGTCAATAAATGTAAAACTACTGAACTGAATAAGAAGTGAAGTGTTATTAAAATATCAGTGTTTTAATTTACCTTATATGTAATCTATGATAATGATATTCTCCGAATAAATGTATGGGTTTTGCAAGTTTCGCAGCATTATGGTGAATAAAGTTTGTGTAATTGTTTTATTTGTCTCAATCTTGATTCTCACTGATACAATGTTCAAAAACCCACTAAAGCAATGAACAATAATAAAAAACAATTTTAAGCATTAAATTCTTTCATTATTAGGTAAAAGTTTTATTATTAACATTCACTAAAATTGATAAATTATTCAACAATGAAAATCCATAAACTTTTTTTATTAATATTTATTAAAAAAAATCTTCAAATCCGAAAAACAGATAAAAATAATTAGTTACAGTAGAAACCGCTCAATACGATGTTAAATATATTATTGTTGCTTCCCTTAAAATAGCTGGTTTGACTATTTTTATATAAAAAAAAAACAATAGTAACATTGCAAATATTTCTAATCTACCTGTATAATTATTGCATTTATTCTTAATACTACAGCCATATTATTTGCGCTAATTTTACAAAAAAAGATTTTTGTCCTACTTGTGCATGATTTTTCAAAAATTACTACCGATTACTGAGAAAAAAAAAAGATAATATTATTTATATCACTTTTAACAGTAATTAATGAGCTTACATCTAACAAAAAAAATATCAAAAAGTTATTGTATGGCAGTGTACAAAGTCTTTTATTTTAAAAAACATTATGTATATTAAAAAAAATGACAACAAATTAATTATTGCTTTAAAAATGTGTAAGTAAAAATTCATTCTATGACAAAACTGTTATGTAAGCGATTTCTTGAAACAAATATAATTTGAAATATGAATGATCTCTAAAAAGAGGTTAAAATATTTCATTATTGTAATATTCAAAAAACCAAACAAATATCTAGAATTTGCACAAATTCTGTTGACACAAATAATGTGAAAATGAAATTGATATAATATAATAATATAATGTTAGTTACAGATATTCTGAAATGGTATTTATAATTTTCACTACAATATTAAGATGACATTTGCAGAACATTTTGTAATCGTAAAAAAATGGATGGCAAAAAAATTGCGATATAATAAAATTTGACTATGTTCCAATTATAATGTAAGCCATTGTAACCACATAGCTAATTTATATAAATTTACATATGTATTGCTTGGATAGTGAGGATACAAAACACCCTGTGAAGTATCACAATTAGTCAATATTGATTTACCTTCATACATCTTTGCTTTCAAATTCAAAACACCATCACAATCATGCAACTCAAGTGTTTTCGTGAAACAAATGCGTATTTCAGCTAAATAACTCTTGTTTTTCTCTTTCCTGCATTCGATAACTGGGTTAACACCTAATTTGTTTTTAATTGAGGTAAACATATCCAATACCGAATACTCATTGGTATTAGACGGGACTATACTTGATGCTTGTAAAATATCATGAACCATAAACTTCTGCACCCAATTGAGACCCATGTTGAAGTATTTGAGTTCAGAATTAAGAGGTTCGAGTACAGCCGCACATGTACCATGTTTGTTCCATTCGTGGGCCCAGAGAGCATAAGTAGAAGTACCTGGAATATGAAAATTGTCTATGAATTACATTTTGAACCAGATTCAACACTTGACACAATAATACAAAGAACGGATGTGAAAAAATATTCAATACAATAGAAGAAATATACAATAGAAATCTATTCTTGTAAAAGAAACATCATGGTATTGCTATTATTATTTAAATTTTAATTCTACAGTAAATTTTACATGTGATTGTTATTTACTCTTCTAAAATTTTGAGGCCCCCATTAATTATGCATTCACTGACCTCATTGTCAATGATATAATTCGCAAAACACTTCTTGTTTTTGAGATAAAATACATAAATTTTTTGTAACGAGAATCACATAACTGGATTTAATCTGCTGAAATATTTGTACATAATCTTATAGTTCATGTGACTTGTTTTTATCCATTGCTAGATCCAAGACTACTTGTTTTAGTAGCAGATTTAGGATGTATTTAATCCTAAATATGTACTTACCAGTTTCAACATTGGTCCATAACTGTTCTAAATTCTTCTCTATTGGCCTGACTTGTTCTGGATCAAAATGCCAAGTTCTGTTACAGAAAGCCGGCCCGATTGTCCCCAACTTTGTGGGCCAAATCCCGTGAATGGTCCATGAATCTTTGTTAGTCGGCAAGTTGCATGTATGTGTACGATCATGTTCCTTCCATTCAATACATACAGTTGCGGGCCAACTTTGAGTAAAAATCAATAAATCCCACTGAGGGGCATTAGCCTTAATTTCTCTGAGTTGTACATAATTCATACTGAAATATTAACACAATTTAATATCTCATTCTCTCATAACATCACATAGAATTATCATAAAATGAATAAATGCACAAACTTACCCCAAACATATTATGAATGAAGTCCAAAAGACATTTATCATCTTTACTATGGATATACCATGTAATGTGGACGAATAAATAATGAGAATGAAAGAATGTAGTAAAAGCCTTAAATTATAGTTACTACGCTTTATTGTTTGTTCCAAACCCAAAATATTTGTTTTTTTGCAAACTGGCAAATTCTGACATTGATACACGTCAACTGTCAAATTCATTTGACAAAATCATAGAGTATTTGATAACAGATTATAATAAATTATTACTATTCTGTCAATGTCAAATAACTACGGTGAAATTATAGGCATAGTAGGGATGGGACTGTGCTTATTTGTAAGACTATCGATATTCATTTTGATTATTATTTGCACAGCACTTGAAATTAATTATAGCTTAGTTATACTGTTGGTAGGTACATCACAAACCATATTTGTATAATATTCTATGAAAAAACTGCTAAGTTCTCGTATTTGCATAATTACTATGAGACGGATTTACTAAATGAGAACATTAAAACCATATGTTTTTTTATTAGAGCTAAAGGATTCAAATATTTTTCCTACTTATAACCTTGGTATGATTAATATAAACTCCAAGTTGACGACCTATACTTTTTACCAAGATGGTTACCGTTCCTATATAATCATAATCTCATTCCACATTTTTCTTCAACCGTCACTCGCTCTGGTGCACTTTACAAAAAGTCGTATCGCGTGCGTTACGTTACGATGGTCAAGTATCCCCGCGATTTCTTTAAAAATACATTATAGAGCTTTTCTACCAACACAGTGGTTATAAACACAATTAAGTAGCTGAACAATTTACACTTATAAAGATAGATAATGCTTTGAAAAGTTAATTAATTCCTGTTTTAAAACATGCAGACAACGATTTCGATGTTTTTGTACTGACAACATAAATTGTCTTCAAACAATTTAAGAGTATAGGCACAAGGGTGCATTATTTGTGAGTACGTGCACTTTCACATAATATTTGTTTTTTCTTTGTCCCTACGATTAAACTAAACGACATAATATGTAACCAGTTTCTTTTTCTATGTAACATTGTGTTTTATTATTCCTTTTCACATATTTACATGCAACAAATGAAAAAAAAATATTTATTACAACATTATTGGGACCAATGTTAATCGATTTAGTAAGAATATAAATTTCTAACCTCATTTATATTCGATTACAAATGATCAATTTAAATGACATACGTTCTAATAAAATATTACTTGGCAATAAAATTACATTTCGTAATAATAAAACCTAGGCAGTAGGCATAGCAACTGACCTACGACAACTTGACCTTTAACCCCGCACCCTTCAAGAACGCCCGGGTCGAGACGGGAGAGAAAATATTCGATAAAGAAATAACAAAATTCATGAGAGCGTTATAAACGAGATAATTTGAAACAAAAACTTAATAACGTCATTATTTACTTAATTACTGATTCATGTTTTGATTTTCAAATATCCATTTTTAAAGTTCTATACAACAATGTCGAATATTTCTAATGAACATTACAGTTAAAACTTTGTCTAATCGAAGTTTTAATCACAAATGGGACAAACAAATAGTAATTAACTAAGTGTTCCTATTCGATACTTGGTGCGTTTACCCTAAAAAAATGAAATGGCATTCGACAGTGTATAGGGCACCTGGCAATGTCATTGTGGCGACGACTCGACCTTCAGTCACTGGCCGTAACTAGTCTCCAAATAGATGTTTACGGGTTCAAATGAGGATTACGAATAAATATAATCTGTCTCCTCTAAGTAATTATGTCAACAAAATTCTGTGGCAGTGGCTGAATTTGATTTACAGAGGCCCAAATGAGTAAAAAACCTGTGCTCCTTATAAATGCTTTTTATAAAAGAAATCAATTAATTAACAGAAAGATCGTATTTTATAATAATGCATTAATTAATTACGTTTAAAAATACAGTTTTCAAACCATTCCCGCGCCACTTTTCCCAGTTAACAGATACATAGTTGAAATTGTCCAAAACTTCTAACCAGGTCGTTGCACCCGTTCGTTTGACATGATATGAGTTTTCCCGCCAATCGGGTAATGCGAGCGTATTTGGCGCGTGCGCGGTCGCGTGCCCGCACTACCGCTAATTGGTAAGAAAAACGCGTCACGGAGCGTGTGCGCGGTTCTTACGACGCCCACCCGCCCGGAAACCGCACGAACGAGCGTTTTTTTAGTCGCATCGTATTAATTTTTCAAATGATCGGGAGCAATGGCCGTGTTGTTAATTGTAGATATCTGTGACGGTAGCGTTACATAGGCCTTTTATATAGTACCGGAACTAGGTGATACGCAGTACTAGACGGGTCAACAATCTGATTTATCAAGGACTGTGCTTTTAATAATACTGGTTATAAATTGTCATTATGTATTTTATATTCCTATAGATGGATTCAATTTAATTCCTTATACCAAATTTTACTGCCCATTTTACGTTTTAAAGAGGCAATATTAGAAAAAAAATTAAAAAAATAAAAAATGACCTGGGCAACATTTAAAAATGTGGTGAAAGGTAATTTTTATAATAAAAATTATGTATATTATTTGTATTAATTTCTGTATGCAACGATGCGTGTCAGTTGGCTGACCGTCGAAGCGTGTGCCTGCAACTAATCGATACATTGAAAAAAACTAACACCGCCGCTTTCTAAGTACTGGTTATGCTGTCGTAATTACACTAAGAACGACATATAAATCATATTTTACATAAACCTATAAATAATAAAAATCAAACAGATTAAATAGGAATTAAATTTAACAAAGAGTAATATGAATTTCAACCCACACCATTCTTTAACATTCTACAAACGTACGCATTTCGTGCTACTTCCTATTTTGCACTGTCAATGTACAATTCCTTTGAACGTTGTGAAATAATCTTCCAAGGGGATTTCCAAACCTCTAAAAGCCTATTTCCACTTGTGACTAATCGTGTGACACGGACCGTTCGCTGCTTTCATTTGTATTATGTTTTCATATTTATTTATTTTTGAGTCTGGCGGATAACGGCTAAGTGAAAATAGGCACACGAACAAAACATCGTAATTTTTCCTCATAGGATATTTGTTTATGGACGGTGGTGTTCATATAAAGTGACTGTAACCCCTAAATTTATGGTAGTAAGAATAAATATACGTAGAGAGAATACGTAGGTTTTTCTTGACATAATAAATTCTTCTTTATTTAAATTCTTTAAAATTAAAACTGGCACCCTAAGCGCATCAGTCGTTGTAGTTAGTTTATTTTAATTACAGTATACACTTAGTTGCAGTGAAAGTGATTCAAGCGGGCAATGAGGCACAGTTGCGTAAGTATTAATATTAATTCCGGTCACATCTTGGTCGTGAGTCACTCATTTGGACCCGGGACCTTTCAATAGCAAGGCTGTTGCGCTGCTTTACATACAATATCACCAATAGACACGATCGCCATCTTTTGTCCTCAACTGATATTATATATTAATATTTTAAACTAGATGTTCCCGCGACTTCGTCTATGCAATATTAAGATAAAAAGTAGCCTATAATCTGCCCGACTATGTCAGCTACCCTTCAGTGAAAGTCTAGTCGAAATCGGCCCAGCCGTTTCGGAGATTACCCGAAACAAACGCGGCTTACGGACAGAGAGACAAACAAAAAAATTTTAAATGCGATTTTCGTTACCAGCACCGCAAATACATCTTTTACCGAAATCTGGGTTTTTTTGATATTACAAACCGACACTCCAATTTTATTACATGTATGTATAGACTCTTCCTGTCGCGTCTAAGAGTTATTATAATAATAATAATAATAATAATAACTCATTTAATCCATTCAGAACGTAAAATAACATAACAAACAACAGAATAATCGAATATACACAAAG